AATAAATTAGTTTGACTAAAAGTTTTTCTCACACTTAATAAATATAATAACAATAATAATAATAATGGAAATTAATAATTTGTCTGACCAAAAAACTTTTATCTACTTACAAAATCAAAGTAGTTTGATTCTAAAACTTTTCTTCCACTTAAAAATCAAAGTCTGACTAAAATATTTTCTTCTACTTAAAATACAAAGTCCGACTATTTAAACATTTTCTTCTTCTTAAGAATTAAAAGCTCAAAAAATTTTTTTTGTTCTTCAAAAAAATTATTGACATGACCAACTATTTTTTATTCTAATTTGATTAGAAATTACGAAATTATTGGTATTATGGAAAATTTGTAAATATAATTGAATTGAGGGAAATTTTTTAAATTAATTGAAATTTTGCAAAGAATTTTATTAAAATTTTTGAAAATAATTCATTTATAGAAATTATTAAAACATTCGTTAAAAATTGTGATTATATTAAAAAGAAAAGTATAGCTAAAACTAAGCAGTATACACCAAAGAATAAAGTACCTACATTATACTTTTAAAACGTATTCATGAAACAAATTTTTTTTTCTTTTTGAAGCACTTTTAAGAAAAAAAGAATAAAAAGACTAGTAAAGATGATTCTATGTTGAGATACGACTGTATTCTTGTATATGAGGGTTGTTTTTATTAACGTATAGAAGGGAGGATCACTTTAAGCGGCTTATGGATTGCAATTAAAATTTTTCTTTAAATGCTCGCTCGTCTCTATTCTATTGTAAAAGCTATATAAAGTTCTATATATTCAAGGTTCAGTGTATAAACGTACTCGTTAAATGCGTAACAAATTCAAAAAAGAAAAAAAAAGAACGAGCAATCCTTTTATAATAACCTGAACCTCTTTTTTCAATTCAGTAAAAAATTTTTACCTTGGGGGTAAATTTTCAAAATGCTAATTTTGTTTTTATCAAATTTTCAAAATAATTTATATTTTTTTTAGTTTTGAATTCGTAGTTAATTTTCAAGTGAAACAATAGTAGACTCTTCCATGATCAAAGTAAATGTTTATAGAAAAAAAAAAAAAAAATTTGCCGTAATTTTCTCGTATGTTTGTTTTTCTGTATAATGTGTACATAGAACAATCATATAAAAGAAAGCATTCGTTTCATCGGCGAAACGTGAGGTAGTTACGTAAACCGAGTATTGTTGATTTTTCCCGAGAGAAAAAGTCTACATTTGCGAAACCAATTTCCCGGAACATTAGTCGCAGACGTCGCTTCTTTTCTACTGGTTACAAGTGATATAGTCGTATTATATATTATGGAAAAAGTGCAGTTTAACAGAAACAAAAAGTTTATTTTACTTCTCTGTGCAAGACCTACAATGCGAAAAATCAAAACAATAAAGGTTTTTGACTCAAAAAATATGAAAAGTTTATTGAGTATTTTCAAAAAATTTTCTGCCGTGTTAGACACTTTCATGTTGTCTTAAATTAAAGCTTCAATCGTTCACTACAAGAACAACATGCTGAAACGAAAAAAATAAAATATTTTGAGAGTTTTTCCTGAAAACACACGTTTTTTAGGTCTTTTCCCCCCACTTTTCTCAAAATCCGGAAGTGATAGACAAATTTTGGATCCGGGATCGTATTCAGAGAATAAAAATACTTCGAAAACGACTCCCATGTTGAAAATAAGCAAAAAATTGTTTTTTGAATTTTTACCCCCACTTTTTTTGAAAATTACCTATTTTTTGGTCGTGTGTCTATGGGTCTTAAGGTGCACGTGCCAAACTGTAATTTAAGGCCTTTTGGAGAAAAAATAGCTTAAAACACCCAAAAATACGATTTTTTGAACTTTACCCCCACTTTTCTCAAAATACTGACTACTATTCAATTTAGAAATAAAAATTTCAAAATATTTTTTTTTGTGCGATATTCCTCTAATATTCACTGTTAACTTAAAAGTATCAAATTGCAACGAATTAATACCAAAAATACGAATCAAATAAAAAATTGGTCCAAATTTTTGGCATCAATTTGATTCACTTTAATATCGCAATTTCATACTTTAAAGAAAATTGTGTTCTTATTATGGTAACATATGTTACAGTTGAAAATTAAAAAATGACAAAGGTATAAAAATATATACAAACGTGACAAAAAGGTCCTGCGTATAATATGACCCAGAACATTAAATTTGGAATCTGAAATTCTGCTGACGATCGTCAAGGGACATGGCAGGACTGATAGTATCAAGGGTTCTGTTCATTGAAGCATCCACACGCATGACACAAAAGTTCCCGAAGGATTTTCTAAGCCCGCAGCTTCTTTATAAAGATTACCAAATCGAATCGTATAAAATATTAAGGAGAGTAATTGAAAAGATTTTTTTTCTGGGGTTAAAACACCTATTTTTAATTTCATTATTTTCCTTTAAAGAAAAACCGAAATAGTTTCATTATAATCAAACAATACGATATTCTTTTCTAAAATAAATATTCATTTAAATTAATTTTTTATATTTGTATTAAATATTTATTTATGTTAATTTTCATCTAAATCAAATATTAATTGAAGTCAGGGAAAATTCTATAAATTTATATTTCCGGAACAATTCCCTTGAAATATTGGGAATATTCCTTATTTACATTATAAAGGAATATTAAAATATCTGATCTTAGAAATTGGAATGTTCCTTTGGAAATATTGGAGGAATATTCCATGAAAATATTATAGGAATATTCCATCAAAATAATATAGGAATATTCCATCAAAATATGTAAACATTCCATAAAAATAAATAACAAAATATTCCATCAAAACTAATATAGAAATATTCTATCAAAATATTATAGGAATACATTATATTGGAATTTTGTAAAAATATTTGTTTTCACTAATATCGTTGATAAATATTATTAATTTTCGCGCTATTTAAATTAATCAATTTATTTGAAACTAAAAAAGTTATAATTATATAAATAAAAATTTATTTGAATTATTCTTTAAAAATTTTGTTATTAACGAACATTTTACTTAAAACTATAAATTAAATTATTTCTGTATAAAACATGAAGAAGTCGATCACTCCGAGTCTTCGACTCGGAGTAATCGACTTCTTCATGTTTTACAACTTTTTCAAAATTATTTTCTTAATTTCAATTCAATTATTATTATCTAGAGTTTTTAACTAAAATTCTTCTTTAAATCAATTGTTTTTATTAATTTTTGAAAAATTTTTTTTTGATTTGAAAATTCTCAAGTATAAACTTGAGAATTTTCAAATCCATTTGTTTTCAATTCAATTTTACAAAATTTCGAGTATTCAAATAATTTCAAAAAAAAATCCAATTTAACTTTTTCAAAAATATTAATTCTACAGAATTATTAGTAAAAATTGTGAAAAATAAAGATTTTCAAAGATTTTAATTTGAAATCTTTAGAAAATTTTGTTATTTCTAAAAATTCAAGCTGTATTGATATTAATATTTAATTATCGTCTAAAATTTTAACTGTAATTCATTTTTAAATCAATTTTTATTAGAAAATTCTACGAGACTTCAATTATTTAAATAGAAGACTAAATAAATTATTGAATAACTGAATTCTCTTAAAATAATTTTATCAACAAATTTTTAAATAATTGAATTCTTTTGACGAATTAAAAAAAAAAAATTTTTAAGAACATAATTGTATTAAACATAATTGAAAATTTGAAATTCTGCAAATAAGTTTTATTATTTATGAAAATAATTGAATTTCTAAAAAGTATTTTATTATTTATAAAGATAATTGAATTTCTGTAAAAAAGAATGTTATTATTTTATGAAAATAATTGAAATATTGAGAATAAATTTATAAAAAATTTGTAAATAATTGAATTTCTGTGAAATTTTTATTATTTATGAGAATAATTAAATGTTTGCGTTGAATTTGTTTAAATTTTTTAATATAATTGAATTTCTGCAATTATTTCTAACTTTTCGAAAATTCTCCAAATAATATCGTAGAATTTACGAACTTTTATTACTTTTTCAAACAAATCATGAATTTTACGGACTTTTTAAAAAAAAAAACGGATTTTTACGGACTTTAAGCAAATTATTTTTTGATAGATAAGAAAAATTATTTTTTTAAGTTTGAGTATAATTTTTAAATTATTGAATATTATAAAGCAAAATATGGAAAATTAAAAAAAAAGTTTAAAATCCAGGACATTTAAGGGAAATTTCAGGACAGTTTTTTAAATTCCAGGACATTTCCAGGAATTCCAGGTCCAGTAGGCACATTTTATTATTCACTTAAATTAAAATGAGACTTAATGTTAAAGGAATGAGTCGTTAGAGGAAAATAAACTAATAATTATTTGAGTGTTGTATTAAATTTTATATGTGTTCTTTTAATAATAAGACAAATAATATTGATCAAATATTATTTATTCAAAATGTAGATTATTTATTACACATTATTAATCACAGAGATTAAATATAGCAACATTTATTACACTTTTTTTTTAATAATTTAACTAAATAAAATATTTTGTAAAAATTATTTTAATTTTTTTTTTATTAATTATTTTTTTAGTTTTCTTTTATTGCTATTAATGAGCAAAAACATATAATGAGTATTGATAGAAAGTGACATAATAAATATTGCTATAATATTGTAGAGAAATATTCACAATATTTTAATGAAAAATTAGTAATTTTTTTTTCTTTAATTAAAATTAGTAATTTACTCAATATATTAAAAGCAATATTTATTATACATATATTAGCAATATTTATTAATATTCGAAATATTTATTGATATTCGAAATATTAAATAGTAATAAATTTTTCTTCTTCGGAATAGATAAGTATATATATATGGGTGAAACATAAAAAAAAGGTATTTTCTATATCAGCAATTAACGATATTTTTATTATAATCCTGCTAATACATCACTATGTCCTTAAAAGTTAAATATTTAAAATTAATATCTCTCTACTTCGTTTATAATAATTACATCTTTGTGTACAATAAATATCGGCTAATCAGAATAATTGCATTATTAATTTATTACTCCTGGCAGTACATTCTAAATAACAATGTGCGATGCGTTTAGAATATATTCTATTATAAGAGAAGTGTGACTAGATTATAATAATAATTACACATAGTAATTAAGCGCAAATTAAGCCCTTCGATAATATTAATGCAATATTGCCTCGCAATATTGGCAACATTGCCATGCAATATTGACATAGTATACATAATTTATCGTTACAGGTGTCTTATACAATCCTTAATTAATTTCGTTTCTTTGGTTATTTTTTTTATATATATATTCCAAATTGCTTTTCAATATTTTTTTATTTTTATACAACATTTTATTATAATTTTCTTCCAAGATGACTAGAATCCTTCTAATAAATTTTTGTGTACATTATAATAGTTTTACTTTCTTAACGAGGAGTTAAGAAAGAGAGAGTGAGAGAGAGAGAGAGAGGGAGTGAAAGCGAATTTTCTGCAAAATAGAAAATTATTTCAATTAATAATTAATTATTATCGAGATTATTATCGAGAAATTATTATTGATATAAGAAAATAAATTTTCTAAACTACATACATAATATTTGAAATTTTTTTTTGACAATTTTTATTGTATTTATTCAAAAAATTATTATTTATTGTTATTATTATTATTATTATTATTATTTATTTTCTAATATGAAACTTAAAATTCTAAAATAATGTTATTCCATTAAAAAAAGTTCTAATTACACGTAGAGCCAATAATTAAGTTTTCTAGGGATTTAAAGGTTAATTTTAAGAAATAATGCCGAAAGTTAAATTAATACTTCAAATATAAAATAACTAGAAAATAACTTACTTTTCAGTAATTTGATTTAATTTGTCGGAGTGGAGGGACTGTAGACTTGACCATAAAAAGCACCACGTGGTCGACAAGCTGAACATTCTGGAGTGCTCCTATCTGATATTTCTCTCTCTATATATGAAAAAATATTTGTTTAATTTTCAATTATGAACTATTTGCTTAATTTTCAATAAAATATATTATATTTATTATAATTTTATTAAAAATAATATTTTATTTCAAAAAAATTTATTTGATTCAAATAAATGTTTACTTGCATCTATTATTACGAAATAAATATATTTATTTGTTTCAATAACTGATTTTTATTTAAGTCAATTAAATGCGGTATTTGCTTCAAGTTCAAATACTTAATTTAATCGTTCAAATACAATTTAATTTAATAAATCTTTCAAAACAATTCAATTATTTTTAAAAATAGTAAACATTTTTGCAAAAATTAAATTATTTTCAACAAAATTTTAATAAAATATCATGAAAAAATTTAATTGTATTCTCAAATTATAATAAATCCTTCGAAACGATTCAATTTTCAAAAATTTTTAATAAAAATTTAATTAATTTAATTTAATTTTTAATAAACTTTAAAAATAAAATATTTTTATTATTATAATTATTGACAGACATGATTATTTTAAAAAGTTGAAAAAAATTCTTTGTTTAATTCAATTATTTAAAAAATTTACAATTAAAATTATCCAAAAAAACTACATTATTTACAAAAACTCTAATAAAATTGTTTAAAAGAGTTTTATTTTCTATCAATAATTTAAAAAAAAAATTTAATAGTAAAATTATTAATTAAATAATTGAACCCCTTGATGCAAGAACCAGACGCAACCCATTTAATTTCAATGCTCTATGTCTGGTTCTTGCATCAAGGGGTTCAATTATAATTATTACAATTATTAATAAAATCGATTTTTCCAAAGAATTTAATTCTTTTCTATACTTAAATAAAATTTTCTTGAATTAATTAAATTATTTTACAAAATTGTAATAAAATTCTGAAAAGTGTTTAATTATTTTCAAAAATTGAAAAAAAATTCAAACTAATTTTTCAAAAGAATTTATCTAGGATTTTCAAAAATTTTAATAATAATTCTTTACAAAGAATTCAATGATTTTAAAATATAAATTTTTGAATAATTTCCAAACCAAAATTTAATTTAATTTCTTTTGAAGATTTTTCAATTATTTTCAAAGTTTTAAATAAAATTCTTCCTAAAAATTCAATTTTCTTCATAAAAAATTGAATTCTTTTGAACATTTCAATTATTTTCTTAAATAATAAAATTCTTCATGGAATATCAATTATTTTAAAAAATTTTAATAACATTTTTCGCAAGAATTCAATTATCTTCATAAAAAATAAAATTCTTTGGAATATTTCAATTATTTTCAGAACTCTTCGGAGGATTTCAATTATATTCAAAAATTTTAATAAAATTCTTCACAAGAATTCAATTATCTTCATAAAAAGTAAAATTCTTTACAATATTTCAATTATTTTCAGAATTTTTCAGAGGATTTCAATTATTTTTAAAAATTTGAAACAAATTTTTCGCAAGAATTCAATTTTTTTTCCATAGATAATACTAATTGAATACTTTACAAAATTTTAATTATTAAAAAAAAAAAATTTTTTAAAAATTCTTGTCAAGAAATCTTTTTGAAGTGTAAACGCAAAAATTAAATTATTTTTCTATAAATAATAAAATTCTTTTTAGGATTACAATTATTATTAAAAATTTTAATAAAATTCTTTCTAAAAATTCAATTATCTTCACAAAAAATAACAAACTTTTGAAGATTTCAATTATTTTCTTTTTTTTAATAAAATTCCTTGAATGAATTAAATTATTTTAGAAAATTGTAATAAAATTCTAAGAAGAATTTAATTATTTAAGAAGAATTTAATTATTTTCAAAACATTTTAATAAAATTCAATAAATAAATGTTTAATTTTAAATTTTAATTACTAAAAAACACGAATATTTTAAAAAACTTGAAAGAAATTGTTCATAAAATTCAATTATTTCAAAAATTTTCAATTAAAATTATTAAAGAAACTCCATTATTTTAAAAAAATTCAAAAAAATTCTTTAAAAGAATTTAATTAGGATTTTTTAAAATTTTAATAAAATTTTTCGCGAAAATTCTATTATTTTTATAAATAATAAAATTCTGCGAAGAAATTCAATTCTTTTCAAATTTTTTTATAAAATTATTTGCAAGAATTCAATGATTTTCAAATTTTATTATATAATTGTTTGCAAGAATTCAATGATTTTCAATACATTAATATTTTAAAATTGAAAATATTTAAATGTTTGAATAATTTCAGACTCAACTTTAAAAAAAAATTCAAAATCTTTGCAAAAATTCAATTATTTTCAAACAAATGTGATCAAAGAATTCAATTTTTTCTTTATTTCATATAAAATCTTTACAAAACTCAAATTTTTTTCCAAAAAAATTTCACGAAATAATTTAGTTTATTTCTTAGTTCGTTATAAAAAATTTCAAAAGAATTCAATTATTTTTAATACGATTTTAATAATATTTCATTAAAGAATTCCATTTTTAAAAAATTTTTAATAATATCTTTCGAGAAAAATCAATTGTTTTCTAAAATTTTAGAAATCCTTCGATACAATTCAATTATATTCATAAATATTAAAATTCTTTGCATAAATTCAATTATATTCAAAACAATTTCACGAAAGAATTCAATTTTTTTTCATAAATAATTTGTTATAAAAAATTTCAAAGGATTCAATTATTTTCTAAAATTTTAATAAATTCTTTGAAAAAATCAATAAAAACAAAACACGATTATTTTATATAAACTTGAAAGAAATAATTGTTTATAAAATTCAATTATTTTTAAGATTTCTAATTAAAATTTAAAAAAAACTATTATTTTAAAAAAAAATTGAAAGAAATTCTTGAAAAAGAGTTTAATTAGAATTATTAAAAATTTTAACATATTTCTTCTCGAGAATTAAATTATTTTTCTAAATAAAAAATTCTTTGAAGGAATTCTATTATTATCAAGTTTTTTTTTGCAACAATTCGATGATTTTCAATAAATTAATTTTAGAAATGGAAAATATTTAAAAAGAAAAATTATTAAAAAAGTTAGGAAACAAAAAAGCAAACAACAACTGACTTCAAACTGCAAAAGATTTTACCGGAATATAACGATTATTAATATAGAATAATAATATAAAATATAAATTATACAGTTTTCTTGAAAGTATCAAATTGTTACTAAATTGAATAAAAATGATACAAAAATTTTAAATCAATTTTTGATTTAATCCACATTTTTGTTATCAATTCGTTGCAATTTGATACTTTTAAGTTAACAGGTCAATTTAATTTTTCAAATAACTTTTTTTGGTAATAAAACTCAAATAAATAGAATATACAGTATGTATATGAAGTTATTTAATTGAACGAAAATTTCTGAAATATGTTTTCGTGACTAAATAAAAATATGCAGATGTCTTTGCGGTTGATGCATTAAAATTAATCTTCTCTTTCATTCATGTTATCGTAAATGTGTATAGCATCCATCTCGTTATTTTCGGCTTATACGTCCAAGTTGAATGGAATTACTTACATAGAAATATATTTATATAGATACATACATCATATACATTTCGCACAATATGGAACTACACTTCTATCCTTGTGAAATATGACGCTAGTTATGACACAGATATATTTACGTATTTACTTAACTTTTTCAGCTACTCTTATGTTCTGTGTTTAAATCATATACTTTTATATTCCTTGCAAATGATTCAAATCCCTCTATTCAATATAGAGTTTATAATTACGAGCGCATTATCAATCAATGTAAATATTTATATACAAAAGTTCCAATTATTAAAAAATCTTCTTAACAATAATATGCGGATTGACAATCAAGTACAACTCTGCATATAATTTTTTTTTCCTAATTTAAAGTATATAAACTAAAAAATAAATCTTACTTTTAGCCCAGTTTTGATTAAAACCGTTTACATGTATTTTAGCCTTGAGAGGATCTTAAGACCTAAAATTATTACTTTATCTAGTTTTAAGCATATATACTTTTAAATCATTTTTAATTAAGTTTTAACATTTTAATTTAAGCATTTTTAAGTTTCTAACGATTTCAGACTTTTTGTTTTCTGTGTATTTGTTAATCGGGAAGCAATTTCAATGAATAAAATGTGTTGAACATTAAAATTATCGAATTTTAAATGTAAATGTATTTTAGAATGTAAAAGTAATAATAAATAAATATTGTTTCATATAATTTAAAAAAAAGAGATTCTCTCTTTTGGATTTAAAGGAAATTTTAAATATGTATTTAGAGATTTTGTGAGAGAAATAGAATGGGAATGGAAAATACACTTTGTGTATGTGTATAATATTTGAATGTGCGCAAGCGTTAACGCAAAGACCGCCTCTGTAAGCGTACAGCTCTCTGGCACCCAATTTATGTTATTACTGGTCCAAGATCCACCCCTTTTTCCTTCATCCCTCGATTCTGCTTCACATCAAGTAGTCCCTGTTTCCAGTTAACACTCCAGTCGCGACTAATTACACTAATTAATTGAAACTCTCCACTCCTCTCTCCTTTCACATTTCACAGTATGGTACAAAGATCGTAAACTTACTGTTCAAAAATATATATATATGTATATCTACAAAACCATATATTTATAAATTTTTTACTCTTATTTTTGGATTTTAGTTAATAAGTTTAGAAATAGAACTACAAAATTTATTACAATTTAGAAAAGTAATTTTTTTAAATTACTTAAAAAAAATTTTTAACCCCTTCGTGCCTTTAGAAAACCCAGCGAGTGGATTTTGTTGAAACTTGTTACTCGGGGGATTTTTTGGGAACGACGATTACGAATCTAAAGTCAGATTTTCAAAATTCAAAATGGCGGATATTTTTTTAAAATTGATCAAATTCGCCTAAAGTTAGATTTTCAAGATTCAAACTGGCTACACCTCGAAAACCCCCAAGTAACAAGTTTCAAGCAAATTTGAGCAATTTAAAAAAAAAAAATATCCCCCATATTGAATTTTGAAAATTTTTTAACTACAATTTTTCCTTCAATCAATTATTTTTAATAATTTTTGAAAAAGTTCTTTGAAAATTTCCAAATCCAGTTGTTTACAATATTAAATTTAACGAAATTTCAATTATTCATAAATTCTTCAATTAAACTTAGAAAATAAAAATTTTAAATAATTTCAACAAAAAAAATCGGCAATTAAACTTTTTCACAAAAATTAATTTTAAAATTCAATTATTTCTTAAAATTCACGCTATATTGCTTTTAATATTCAATTTTCTAAAATTTTAACTGAAATTCATTTTTAAATCAATTTTTATTAGAAAATTCTACGAGAATTCAATCATTTAAATAGAAAAATAAATAATTTATTGAATAATTGAATGTTTCTTAAAATTCAATTCTCATAAAGAATTTTATCAACGAATTTTTAAATAATAAAATTCTTTGGACAAAGTTTAATAAAATTTTTAAGAATAAATTACATTTTTCGAGAAATGCGATTAAAATTGTAATAAAAATAATTGAAATTCTGCGCGATGAGTTTTATTATTTATAAAAATAATTAAGTTACTAAAAAGAATTTAATTATTTACGAAAATAATAATTGAATCTCTGTAAAAATTTTATTATTTATGAAAATAATTGAATTATTGCATAAGAATTTTTTTTAAATTCCTGAAAATAATTGAATTTTTTATGGGAAAAATTTTTTTAAAATTTTGAAAAATAATTACATTTTTTTAGGAATTTGATTAAAAATAGTTTTATTAAAATTTTATTAAAAATAATAGAAATAATAGAATTTTTGCGAAGAAATTAAAAAAAAAATTAAATCCCTGTGAAATTTTTATTATTTTTAAAAATAATTGAATTTTGTAAAGGATTTTATTAAATTTTTTGAAAATAATTGAATTTCGGAGAGGAACTTTATTATTTATAAAAATAATTGAAATTTTGACGAGAATTAAAAAAAAAAAATTTTGAACATAATTGAATTTCTGCAAAGAATTTTATTACTTTGGAAAATAATTGAATTTTTGTTATAACTATTATTATAGTTATGAAAATAATTGAAATTTTTGAAACGAATTTTATTAAAATTCCTGAAAATAAATGAATTTTGCCTAAATAATTTCATTAAAATTTAAGAAAGTATATTGAATTTTGGAGAAGAATTTTATTATTTATAAAGATTATTTAGAAAGATAATTGAAATTTTGGAAGGGATTTTTTTTATAATTTTTGAACATAATTAAAATTCTGCAATGAGTTTCATTATTTATGAAAATAATTAAATTCCTAAAAAAAAACTTTAATTTATGAAAGTAATTGAATCTCTGTAAAACATTTATTATTTATGAAAATAATTAAATATTGCAAATAAATTTATAAAAAATTTGTAAATAATTGAATTCCTGTGAAATTTTTATAATTTTTTGAAAATAATTGAATTTTACAAAGATTTTTATTAAAAAATCCTGAAAATGACTGAATTTGCCGCAAGAATTTCATTAAAATTTAAGAAAATAATTGAATTTCGGAGAAGAATTTTATTATTTATAAAGATAATTGAAATTTCGACAAGAATTGTATTAAAATTTCTCCAAAATAATTGAAATTCTGCGATGAGTTTTATTATTTATGAAAATAATTAAATTCCACAAAAGAATTTTAAGTATTTACAAAAATAATTGAATCTCTGTCAAAATTTTATTATTTATGAAAATAATTGAATTATTGCGAAGAAATATATAAAAAATTTGTAAATAATTGAATTCCTATGAAATTGTTATTATTTTATGAAAATAATTAAATATTTGCGTAGAATTTTATCAAATGTATTTTAAATAATTGAATTCTTTTGGAAAATTTTGTTAAAATAATAAATATTAAAAATCGTTTAACGGAGGACAAATTTTTGAAAATAATTGAAATTTCGCCAAGAATTGTATTAAAATTTTTCCAAAATAATTGAATTTCGGAAAAGAATTTTAATGTTTCTAAAGATAATTGAAATTTTGACGAGAATTTTTAAAAATTTTTGAACGTAATTGATTTTCTGCGAAGAATAAAAAAAAATAATAAATAATAAATAAATAATAAATAATAATAATAATAATAAATAATTAAATTTCTGCAATCAGTTGTAATTTCTCTAAAATTCTCCAAATTATATCGCACAATTTACGAACTTTTCGTCCATTTTCTATCAAATTACGAACTTTACGGACCTTTTTTTCAAAAAAACTGACTTCTACGGACTTGAAGCAAATTTACGGATCTTTACGGAATTTACGGACCTAGTTCGGGTCCCGACTTAACTTTAGGACTTAAAATAATATGGCTCAAAATCTCAAGACTAAGATTCAGTCAAAAATAATGTTTCTAATCTAAACTGTTTTAGTCAAAAGGGGACTGAAAGTAAGATTTATTTTTTACAGTGTAATAAATTTTCTAAATTTTCCACTAAGCAAAGAAGCTAAAGGTCTAAAAAGCCAAAGAGTAGGAAAGTTTATTTCAATAACTTTTCTTTAATTTACCTTTGCTTAATAAATTTAAACGTCTGTAAGAAGAACTATTGCTGTGCCAGCTTTCCACACATCTGGCTGGTGACATTTCGGGTTTAATGTCACGAAGTGCTGTCACTTCCTCTGCAACTTTTTCCGCTTCACGTTCCTAAAAGGCAAACATTATTAGAAAATTCGTCAAGGATAATTAAAATTTAAAAAAAAAATTACAATTTTAATATATATTAAAATCATCTCCTTTTCTATTTTTATCTGTTCAAACTGGCCTCTGTAATTTTATATGGGCATTAATAAAGAACTATTAATTAATATTAAGCCATTAGGCTAAATAAAAAAGTTTAAGATCTTTATTATTTAAATTATATGGCTTTCTACAAAAATTTATTTCAACATTAATTAATATTATTATTAATATTACTATTAATATTATTATTATTATTATTATTAACATTACTATTGATAATAATATTAATATTACTATTAATAATATTATTAATATTACTATCAATAATAATATTAATATTATTATTTATATTACTATTATTAATATTATTATTACATTATTATTAATATTTATTCTCACAAAATCTCCAACTTTAACAGTTTTATCAAAAAATGTTTTTCAAAAAAAAAAAAAAAAATCATCCGTTTAAAAAATTAACTTCCTATCAGTTCTTTAAATGTAAATATAAATTTTATTTAAAAGTTTTTATTTTCCAGATTTTTTTGTTCGCACAGTGTAAAAAATAAATACGTCATTCTGTTAGTTCAAAATCAAAAGCGTGACGAGAGTATGTGTATTTTCTTTTATTTTTGACCCCAATATTGGAGTTGTGCCAGATATATATGCGCGTCTACATCGCGGGTTATGATAAAAAATTGAAAGGAAATGTCCCTATCGGAAACAAATGTCACGCGAATATGCATTTTTAATTTGTTATCCTGCGACAATATGAGTGGGGAATGATGTGAGAATAGATTACATACATGTATATATAAATTTCTCCGTATTCACAGCAAAAATTTATTTATCTATACTTGTTTAAACTTCTGGTTAAATTAAATTTTTAAATTCAGAAAAAATTGCACATAACCACAATTGTTAACTATTAATTATTAATTAATTATTAATTAATAACTATTAGGTATTAATTAACAACTATTATTAATTAATAACTATTATTAATTATTAACTGTTAGTTTTAATATCATGAGATTTATTTAGAATTCCCCCACAGAATATAACCTTGCAGCAACATTGCCAACATTGGGGCAATATTGACTCAAAGTTTGTTAAAAATTGCCATGCAATATTACCCCAACATTTCGTAAAAATTACCCTGCAATGTTAACTTAACTTGTCATTGTAATATTGTATAGGAACATTGCCAACATTGCGGCAATATTGCCCTAAAGTTTCGTAAAAATTTATTTCAATATTCCAAAAATTGCAAAGATATTTTTCATTTTTTTTCATAAAAAATTTTTCAATTTCTGGGTTAAAGTTAGTTTCATCGAAATTGATTTCAATTTCGATGAAACTAACTTTACTCAGAAATTGAAAAATTTATTACAATATTCCGAAAATTGCAAAGCAATTTTCATTTTTTTTTTTTATAAATTTTTTTTCAATTTTTGAGTAAAGTTAGTTTTATCGAAATTGAAATCAATTTTTCAATTTCTGGGTAAAGTTAGTTTTATCGAAATTGATTTCAATAACTAACTTTATCCATAATTTAACATTTTTCCATGAAAGGATAATTTAGTAAAGTTGTGATGCTTTGTGAAATATTTTTTATTAGAGAAAATAATCCCTTCCTATATAGGTACTTTGTGTGCTGAAAAAGCACTTGACAATGGGGTATATATATGCATATTGTAAAAAATAAAAAATTAATACTCATAAATTGTGTATGTCTGAAGAAGACAGACGGACGTTTACCGTCGCAAATCGTTTAGTCACATATAGACGAGATTCGTTCATTTTCCAACGAGTTGACTTTGATCAGCATGCATATACAGAGGTTGCATGGATATTTTAAAGAACATATGTGCTATTTATTCCAAAGTATGTATATACATCATAGATATCAGTTTTGTGCGGGGTAAACTTTCATCGACCACCTGCTCATCGTTACGCTTCTATACCAAACCAATACCATGACGAAAGAGAATTATAATTATTTTCACTTTCATTATAATATAAGACACATTGTTTATGTTTTCATTTCCAACATACAAAATATAACAAATATTAATTAAACTAGCTAACTTTTTACTTATTTTTTCAATTAAAAAAATTAGCATTTATTTAAATAAAATTATTTAAATAATATAAGATAAATAATAGCAGTTATTTAAATAAAATTAGAAATTTTAAAAATAAAAGAATATAAAAATTTTTATTTCACATTTCTGTTGAAAACACTAATAAAATTGAATTTTGAAAAAGTTACAAATAACAAATAATTGCAGAAACTTAAATTAACTTAAATTTACTTGCAGAACTTTTCAAAAAATTCTCATTAAACTCCCAATTCTCTTTAGAAATAACAAAATTCTTCCCCAAAATTCCATATTTTCAAAAATTTAATTACATTTCTTGGCAAAATTTCAATTATTTTCAAAAATAATAAAATTTTAACAGAGATTCAATTATTATTGTAAATATTAAAATTCTTTTTAGGAAACACAATTATTTTTATAAATAATAAAACTCATCACAGAACTATTTCAATTATTTTCAAAAAATTTAATGAATTCTCGTCAAAATTTCTATTCTCTTTTAAATAATAAAATTCTTCTCCGAAATTCAATTATTTTCTTAAATTTTAATTAAAATATAAAATTTCAAAATGCGTCAAAATTCAGTTATTTTCAGGAATTTTAATAAAATTCTTTGCAAAATTCAATTATTTTCATAAATAATACATTTTTTTTAGGAGTTCAATTATTTTCATAAAAAATAATTTAAAATTCTAGAAAATAATAATTGAATCTAAATGATAAAAATTATTTTGAAAAAGTCACAGTAACAATTTTCTTATAATATAAAATAATGATTTTATCACTAGATCATCTTTAATTTTATTATAAAATATCAATTAACTTTTAACTTACTTTTTTAAATAAAATTAGTAATTTTAGAAATAATAGAATTTAAATTTTTGTTGCAAACACTAGAAAAAATTTAATTTTGGAGATGTGACAAATAATTGCAGAAATTCAATTATTTTCAAAAGTAATAAAATTTTATTCTTCTCACAAAATTCAATTATGTTGAAAATTAAAAAAAAAATTCTCGTTAAACTCTTAATTCTCTTTATTTTTAACAAAAATTCTTTACCAAAATTCAATTATTTTCAAAGTCAATAAAATTCTTGTCCTAATTTCAATTATTTTCACCAAATTTTCTCATTTCAATTGATATTCAATATCTACTATTTTAATAAAATTTCGCAAATAGAATTTAATTTTTAAAAAAATTTTTTAATAAAATTGTATTCCCACATTTCATTATTTTTATAAATAATAAAAATTTCACAGAAATTCAATTATTTACAATTTTTTTTTTATAAATTTCTTCACAATAATTAATTTATTTTCATAAGTATTAAAATTATTTTTAGAAATTCAATTATTTTCATAAAAAATAATTTAAAATTCTAAAAAATAATAATTGAATCGAAACGATGAAAATAATTTTGAAGAAGTTAAGGTAACAATATTCTTATAATATAGAATAATGATTTTATCACTCGATCAGTTTTAATTATTATAAGTCGTTTAATTTGAAAAAGGTTTGAATTTGAAATTTTTGAATATCTTGATTAATTAATTTTTTCCCTTAATTTTCTAAAAATTTAAAAAGTTTCATTTTCGTTTTCAATTAAAATTTGTAATTCTAATACAATTTTTATTACATTTTTTTAAAAACAATTATTTATAATAGAATTTTTATAAAAATCCTCGCGGAAGTTCAATTATTTTTTATACAATTTTAAATGAATTCTTAGCAAAAATTCAATTATTTTCAAAAATTTTAAAACAATTCTTCGCAGAAATTCAATTATTTTCAAAAATTTTAATTAAAATCGTCGGAAAAAGTAGTAAGAATTCAATTATTTTCATAAGTAATAAAATTATTCGCTGGAATTAAATTATTTTCATAAATAATAAAAATACTTTATTAGAATAAATTTAATTATTTTGAATATAATTTTAATAAAATTCTTAGCAGAAATTTAATAATTTTCATAAATAATAAAATTTTCACAGGAATTCAATGATTTAAGATACAATTTACAATAAAATTTTTCGAAACAAAATCAATTATTTAGAAAAAATTTTATAAAATTCTCCGCAAAAATTTAATTATTTTTATAAATAATAAAACGTATTGTAGAATTCCAATTAGTTTTTACATAATTTTAAATAAATTGTCCGAAAAATGCAATTATTCTTAAAAATTTTATTAAAATTCTTCGAAAGAAATCAATTTAAAAATAAATTTTAATTATTTAATAAATTATTTATTTATAAATTTAAATAATTGAATTCTTGTAGAACTGTCTATTAAGAATTGATTTAAAAATAAATTTCAGTCAAAATTCTAGATAATAATTAAATATTAGAAGCGTTATGTTATAAATTTTTATCACTAATTAAATTTTTAAAAAAATTTCCGAAAACAATCATTTAATAGAATTTTTAAAAACTTCTTCGTGAAAATTCAATTATTTTTAAAAATTTGAATAAAATTCAATATTTAAGAATTCAATAATTTGGAATTTTAATTATTGTAAAACTGCATAGGAATAAAGAGTGTTTAAAGAATCGAGTTGGTATACGATTTGAAAAATATCATATTTTCTGGGGGGGGGGGAGGGATGAATTCAACCCTTCTGATGTTTCACCTTGTCGAATTACTTCACAATAGACTCGAGTGCACCCCTTTTTGCCTTCATGGTCCGCACACAAAACATATAATTACTCGAAATCCCAAACAACATTAAACATTTATCGCGCAACTCCTCGTTTCCCTCGCTGACCCATTAGCATTACGACGATAATTAATATTTGCTTAAATACGAATAATTTTCTATATAGATATACAAGACACTCGTCTAATGTCACATAATTACTCTT